ATTTTTCTACTGATGTAGATGAATGTTAGGATGTCTTTTTTCCACCGGTTTTACAGGCCTCCTATCACAGTGTTTCTCAACCTTGGCAACTTGAAGATGTCCGGACGTCAACTCCCAGAATTCCCCAGCCAGCGAATGCTGGCTGGGGAATTCTGGGAGTTGAAGTCCGGACATCTTCAAATTGCCAAGGTTGAGAAACACTGTTCTATTCCAACCCGCCTGCTCTAGCAAGATATTCTCTACCATTTCAGACAAATGGCTGTCCAGTCTCTTCTTTAAAACCTCCATTGGTGAAGCACCCACATGCTGTTCCTCTGGTTAATTGTTCTCACTGCTTGGGAAGCTTCTCTTTAATTCTGGGCCGCTTCTCTCCTTGATTAGTTTCCATCTGTTGTTTCTTGTCTTACCTTCTGGTGCTTTGGAATATAAATCGATCCCCTCAAATACTGGAACACTGCTATGTCACCCTTAACCCTTCTTTTCTATAGACTAGCTTTACCCAGTTCCTGCGACCCTTTCTCCATGTTTTAGTCTCCAGGCCTTTAATCATCCTAGTTGCTCTTCTCTGCACTTAAAAAAAGAAGACATTTAATTGGACAACTGATGGGAAAGTGGGTAAATGAAACAGAAACCGAAACTGTCAAAATATAAGCCTGGACCTTTTACCAACTCTTCCCCACGAACTGAAGGATCTTCCCTTGCCTGGATTCAGATAAGACAAGAAAGGCTACTGTTTAAATGCCTTATGGCACGAGGGCCAGGTCTAGGGGCCATATAAGTTGGCACCCTTCTCTTGTTCCTTGGATGAAGGGAGAGCAATCCAAGACTTTCATATTTCTCGAGGACACCCTCCACTACACCTGAGTGCAGCAGAGGTGCACTTAGAGGTGCATGGCAGGCCAAGTCTTACAAAGGTGTTTCCAACAAAACATGGCTGCCGACAACTCTCGGAATCATCAACCGCCTGAGACAAATGATATAGTTTAACCTAATGGTGAGGCTGTCCATGCCCGACCTGGCCTCTCAACTGACTTTTGTCTCTGCCCAACTCACCTTTTCTTCTGTATCAAGCCGAGGACTGGATGCCGAGCGCTTGATGCCGCTGCCCCCCTTGGACGCCCCTTCATCCAGCTTGGCATCCTGCAATACACCGAAGCTGCTGGTCTTGCGCAGGCTCTGCCTCCAGGTGGCTGGGGCTGGCAAGCTACTTGGCTCCGTGGTGCGGCTGGGACCTCCAATGAACTGGTGGGGAGGAACAGAAGAGGAGGAGGGGTGGAGCGGAAGGGGACGAAGAGAGGAAGCAGAGAGAAAAGGAAGGAAAGGGAGTCAGGATGGATGAAGGGAATTCTCACTTAAAAGAACGGAACTGGAAGGAGCAAGGTGGGCACAGAGGTTGGGCTAAAACAGGGGTGTCAAATTCGATTTCGTTGAGGGCCGCATCAGGGTTGTGTTTGACCTCAGGGGCTGGGGTGGGTGTGGCCAGCTCACTCATGTCACAAGGGGGGGGACACCTGTGGTGTCCAAGTGCTAAGGCAGGACTTCCCCCAGACCCTCCCTCCCTCATTATAATCCCTTTCATTCCCCCTTCATTCTCCTTTCTTCTTCCTCTTTCTTTCTTTTTCCTTCCTTGCTCTCTTCCCATCTTCCCCTCTTTTTTTGTCTTTCCTCTTCCCCTTTCTCCTTTCCTGCCCATTCTTACATGCTCAAATGCAAAAGGGGAAACATTTCTCCTTTTGTTTCGTTTTGATTTTAGTTTGTTTTGCTATTCCTCTGCCAGCAAAATGGTGCCTGGCAGGGGTGAGGGGAGGCACAAACAGCCCCACTGAGCTCCGTTTTCACTGGCAGAGGCACCACGGACCAGTCTTTTACTGTTTCCAGTGGCCCTGCAGGCCAGATGTAAGAACCTCTCGGGCCAGATCCAGTCCCGGGGTCTTGAGTTTGACACCCCTGTGCCAGGACAAGGAATTCAAGACCTGAATAACTGAGGATTCCTTAAGATAGTGGGGGCTCCAAACTTGACAACTTTGTAATCTGTGGATTTCAACTCCCAGAATTCCTCAACCAGCCATGCTGACTGGGGAATTCTGGGAATTGAAGTTGCCAGGTTTGGAGACCCGTGTCTTAAGAGAAGAAACAACCCCAAAATTCTGGCTTGCAATAGATACACCAGACTCCTAACTCGGTGATAAAGTGGCAATTTTTAATTCTCCCTTCTCTCTCTCTTGATGAATTACAGGAGAAGCAGTGCTGTATGTGTGTGTGGGGGGTGGTGGTGGTAACCAATCTGAGAAAAAACAGAATTGATTGGGTTTCAAGGCAAGAAGGGTAGTACTTCCATAGTCATCTAGCCAGGGGCTCCGATTCATTTTTCCAAAGCAGATGGTGTAGGAAAGGGTCAAAGCCACCCAAAGTTGCCCTTATCAGAAGATCCCTTTTTATCATCTGAAAGCTTTCAGAGATTATTGAGGAATAGCTGCTTGGCACATCCTCAGATGTTCCAGAGCATGCCTGAACACGGAGGTAGGATTTCAGGCTGAACTATACCTCAGGTGAAAGCAGCCAGGACTGCCATCTTCTCAAAGCAGCAATTCCTGGAAACCTTTTTCTTAAAGACATTCTTACATATATTAAAAACAACTGCCTCTTGAGATGAAGGATACTGCCAACCTACCAACCTTCAGAAAGGCTTTTAAAACCTTTTATATTTGGCAGAATGCATGAGTGCAGGTAGTTCTAAGGTGCTTAGTTGGCTGGATAAGATCTGAGTTTTGACATTTTTATTGTACTGTAAATTGCTTCGGGTTCCTCTGGGCACTGTAGAAATTATTGTTTGTACAAACAAACAAATGAAAGGAGAAACAATGGAGGAATCACTCTATTGTATATAGGTAGCTGCTTAGAATACAATTTAGAAGCAAGTAGTCCTGGGATCGTTAGGAAGCAACTTCTCAAGCAGGGCTGCCCAACAATGAACATTTACATTGATATAAACGTTGTATGAGGGACCACTGAGACACCCACCCACACCCACCCACACACACACAAGGCTGCCCCCAAAGTCTTTCTAGAAGACCTCTTGCATTTCTGACCATCCAGAGTCTTTGCAAGACAAGGCTACCTGTCCCTCGCATCCCATCATGAAGTCCTTGCCAATGCAAGTTCCAAAATTGGAAGAGCTTAATGCTCGCCTTGAGAAGAGCTGCCTGGAATCACACTCACAACACGCGCAGAATTTCAAAATGCTATCAGGGCAGAAGAAACAGCAGGTCCTAGAAAACTGCCTTCATTGCGTTACCAAACTTTCAGAAGTGTGAAGTTTCGGAAGTTTTAGAAAAATCATGTCCGTTGCCATTTCCCAGGCTCTCCATTCTGGGAGAATTTTGCTTTGGTTGAATGGGATTCCCTTGTCTGCTTCACACAGCCCAACTCTATAGTTCACTATATCTGGATATCTTCTGAACAGGTGGGCAATCTTCCCGAGTTACATTCCTTCAAAAGTAACGCTGGAGAAGAGTCACCAACCTGCCAATGGAGAGTAGAAGGTGGGACCAATGTCCCACCCTCGTCGCTACCGTTTTTTTCCACCTGGCTCGATCAGAAAGGTTGGCAGTTCGGTGGTTTGAATCCCTAGAACAGGTCTCCTGCGTCAGCAGGGGGTTGGACTAGATGACCTCCAAGGTCCTTTCCAACTCTGTTACTGTTTACTGCTTCCCTCTTTATCCTTCCCACTCCCCAGCTGTGTTAGTTATAACACACTTCTTTCTCTCCTTTCCCCCTATCTGCCAGGAAAAGATCAAACAGCTTTGGACTTTGTAACTCTTGTAGCCCAAGGGCCGACCTCCTTACTGAAGTACCGCTTGACCCCAATAGTTTATAATCTTAGCGTCCCTATTCATTTTGCTCCCTTGGGCGTCTTAAGGCTGCTTAAACCACTCTTTCTTCCCAAACACCAGCATTCTTCTCATATGCACAGATAAACAAAAGCACCGCTCCCCACAGTGGCCAGAGAGGGAACTGCAGCGTTATCAGCAGCCCCGCATCCTGTTTCCAGGAGATGCTTGCCAGAATCTTTTCCCACAGTGGCATGTACAAAGTCGGGATTTTCCTTTAATCTCACAGGACACCAAAGGGATGAACAGCCAAGAGAACAGCAGGCAGGGGTTCCTGTGAAGAAGCCTCTCTCTCCACTCCACTCACAGTCGAAGGCTGACTCAGCCACCAACAGCGGATTAAGAGATTTTTTTTTTTTTAAGCCCTACTTTGGGCTTCCTGGAGACAAGTGCGCAAAGATTCACCCCTCTTGGCTCCCCTCTTCATTTTCTCACAGCAGTCACTTGCCCCTTCTGTGGCACCAGAACGTTCCCTGTTTTATGCAAGCGTTGCCTCCATGTGGAAGAAGGCACCAGAGGGCTTGGAAGAGGTAGCAGAGGCAAAATGAAAACAAACTGTGGGTGGAGTGAGCAGGTGGAATGAGAAAGCGAGGAGGAGGAGGAGGCGGAGGAGATGCATTTCACGAAGGATGGAGGACACAGGAGGGAAAAAAAATATCAGAACAGGGAAAAGGGGAAAAGAAAACAGAATGTTCGAGGTATTTTATACAGCGCAGGTAAGAGATGACATGCAACAGAATGGGGGAGGCAGGAAGAGGAGGCCCGACCAAAAAAGGCCTCTTTGCAAATGTAGTCCCTAGACGTGCTTGTGGCAGCATCCCAAAAGCAGGGGGAAAGTCAGAGCAAGCAATAAAGGGTTAATCAAGCATGCTAGGTGAAGGGATGCTTTTTAAAAAAAGTGCATTGAGATGAATTCATCACAGGCTTTGTGCCAAAGAGCAAGCGACCATGGAAAACTGAATGAAAATGTAACATTTCTAAGGGGAAAATTATGATGCTTTTATTTAGAGGTGGAGCGCAGGACTAAGATTACCAATGAAATTCCTCTACAGGTAGTCCTCAACTTACTACCGGTTGCTTAGCTACCATTCAAAGTTACGTAGGACCCTGGAAAAGGGACTGCAAGCCCAGATTCAAAGTTCTGACATCCTTGGTTACATGACTGAATTTTGGGCGCCTGGCAACTGGCCCATATTTATGGCCATTTGCAGTGTCACGTGCCCTTGATTTATGACATTGACGTGTGATCATCGGAGTGAACTCAGCTGATCGTTCGGAGCTACCGATTGGGCCGGAACCGATCCGAACTGGTAGAATCCCGCCTCTGCTGGCACCTGCAATCCCGCACTAAGCGGCATGAATGAACTGAGAATGTAAAGCGACTAGAGCCCTTGAAGTGTGTTTGTCAGCCTCTATCTTGGGCTCTAGTAAAAAAATTTAGAGTGTGGATGGAGGAATTGGATTTCAACTACATCACAGTACCAGTAATGATTCTATCTGGACCCACAGCTGTAGAAGGAAACTGAGACAATGGAGAGAGGAAGTTCAAAAACACCTGACTCCCTTCGCCGCCACGATGCCTTGCCTTACCTTTGGCCCAAGAGGAGACGGGGAGAGAGGCTTAATAGGAGTCACAGACACTCCATTCACTGCACCACTGTCTGCTGGGGGAACAGCCTTCACTTCTGCAAGAGATGGGGAGCAATTAGCAACCAGCCCATTGTGTCCCGTCAGGATGAGGGCGTTGGCTACGGCTTCCCTCCACTCACCATTGGACTCCGGTGTTTCATCCCCCTCCGAAGCCGAGCTGGTCTCCTCTTCGCCAACAGCAATGGTACCCAAGGTCTTCCGCTCCTTTGACTGGTCTTGGACGGAGATCTTCTCTTTGCTGCTCATGCGGCACACGGAGCTCCTAGGAGAATCAAAGGGAGGGATGGACAGGAGAAGAAGCTGGAAAGATCTCGCTCGCTTACCCTGCCACAGGTATAGGTCACAGAGCCAGTTGTGTAGGTACTCAGGCCAAACTAAGCAACATGGCAAGGTGATAACTCCAAACCATGCAGTCACACACTTGGTTCTATCTCTTCCATTTCCATAGTTATCACTTGGTTCAAGTTACTACTTGATGAAGCAGGTTAGCATTCTTTGGCAGTGATGGCTAACCTTTTTGTCCTTGCATGCCAAAATCACGTGTGTGCTCACGCCTATAATGCAATGCCCCCCGAATGACCCCCGCATACGTATGCTCCTCCCGCGCATGCGCACGACACCTCCCCCAGCACACTGTTTGGGCCTAGCGGGCCTCCATGAAGGCTCCTGGGACAAAAAATGGACCACGGGAAGGGGAAACACCCCCCCCGCATGCATGACCCCCACACACATGTACATGTGTTTCCCGCATGTGCGGCAGAGACCCAAAAATCAGCTAGCCAGTGGGGGCCCCGCGCGCATGCACAGTGGATCTGAGCTGGCTCACATGCCCTTAGAGAGGGCTCCACATGCCACCTGTGGCACACTTGCCATAGGTTCATCATCACGAATCTATGGCTTCTTATTTCTTGGCTGGCATCTTCTACTACAATGAATTAGGCCTGGAGAAGGACTGATTATTTACTTATTTGTTTGTTTAAATATATTAGTTGCCCAACTCCAATTGGTATGACATAAATCTCTGTCTTTGAGATAATATATTCCTTTTATTTTCTAATATGCATTTCAGGCTATTTAAAAAAAGCCGTGGTGGTGCAATGGTTAGAGGGCAGTACTGCAGGCTATTTCTGCTGACTGCCGGCTGCCTGCAATTTGGCAGTGTGGATCTCACCAGGCTCAGAGATGACTCAGCCTTCCATCCTTCCAAAGTGGTAAAATGAGGACCCAGATTGTTGGGGGCTGGCTCTGTAAACCACTTAAAGAGGGCTGTAAAAGCACCGTAAAGGGGTATATAATCTTTTTCTCCGAAAACAGGACCCATCCCCATAATAAGCCCAACCCTAATTTTTTTGGGGGGTGGGCCTAATATTACGCCTACCCCAAAAATAAGCCCGGGGGATGCGCGTGGCCAGCACGAGTAGCGGTGTGTGTGTGGGGAGACCACTGGCCCCTCGGGGCAGCGCAAATTTTGCCCAGCAGTTCTGCTTGTTGGGCCACTTCCTTGAAGCCGGCAGCTGCGCAGCCAGCTGCTTTGCTTTCCCTACTCTTTTTGGGAGGCTTGCGGGAGGCTTTTTGGTGACTTGGTGAGCTGGACACACCGTCGCCTCCATTTGGACCTTCCAGCGTTTGGAATGGAGGCGTTTTGGCGATCAGGAGGAAAACAGGGAAGGGGATTTTCCTGCCGGTCACCCATTCCTCAAGCTCAGCACAAATGAATGGAGGTGATGGTGTGTCCATGGCGCATCCAGCGCACTGAGTCTGGCCTGCTGCACCTCAAAAAAAGTAAGACCGCCTCGAAAATAAGCCCAGGTGCTTATTTTCAAGTCTAAAAGAAAATAAGACTCAGTCTTATTTTCTGAGAAACACGGTAAGTCTAAGTGCTACTGCTATTTAAGAAACATCCAACCAGTCTAGATCCAAGAACACATAGGTGGTCCTCATTTAACAACCACTCATTCATTCAGTGACTGTTCAAACTCACAATGGAGTGAGCGATAGCCATGACTGGCCCTTTTAGTTTGATGGCCACAGCATTCCAGCAGTTATGTGATTGTGATCCAGGTGTGATCCTTGTGTAGCTCACAATTTCAACACTGCAGCATCCCATAGTCACGTGATCACCATTTGCAACCCTGACAGCTTTCTACAAGCGAAGTCAATGGGGAAGCCAGCGGAAGGTTGTAAATGGCGACCATATGACATCCATGCTTTACAATCCACGGAGATTCACTTAAAGACAGCAACCCGAAATGTTGGAATCTCCATCACTAGGTCATGCGTGACATTGTACTTTACGGCCACATTATTTAGGAAAATGAAAATCTCAGTCCCAATCCCTCTCAATAATCAAAGACTAGAGGTACTCATGTGTGCTCAGTGCCACATAGGTGAAAGTGCAAGAACAATAACGTCGCTCAAAGTTGGTTTAATTCCAACTTTGACGGCAAAGGACTTGTATGCCTTATACCAGCGATGGTGAACCTTTTTTGGCTCGCGTGACATAAGAGGGGAGAGTGCAGGGGGGGGGTTGTGTGCTGGCATGCCACACCCAAAATGCAACGCGCGACACACACACACACACACACACACCCAGTGTGCATGCTCTTTTCGCCCTCCCCAGGCTCCTATAAAGCCTCTGGAGACTGGGGAGGGCAAAAAATGGCTTTTAAAAAGGCTGAACTCAGCTGGCCAGCGCGCGTATGCACGATGCCCAGCTGACAGGCAATGCCTCCCGTGCACTGACAAATGGCTCCGCATGCCACCTATGGCACACGTGCCATAGATTCTCCACCCCGGCCTTATACTATAGGTGTCAAACCCGCGGCATCACGTGACCTTTTTCCTGGAGCTGGGGTGGGCGTGGCCTACATGTGGTGCATCAGGCCCGCGGGCCGCCAGTTTGACATCCCTGCCTTATACCAATGTTTCTCAACTTCAGCAAATATAAGCTGTGGTAACTTCCAACTCTCAGCATTGCTGTCTGGAGATTTCTGGGAGTTGAAAGTCCACACAGCTTAAAGCTGACAAGGTTAAGAAACACTGTCTTACACTCTACAATGTTTCCTACGGCAGAAGTCGTATGAGAAAATGGCCACCCTACTCCATGCCTGAACATTCATAAACAGGCCAACAATCTGTTTACAAATCCAAAAACTGCCGATATAATGACCCAGCAAGTGGCCAACCAGGTTCTACTCCAAGCACGACAGCCAAAGATTCTTGGTAGATTTTCTTTCCTCACAACAGGCGCTTGCAATTTGCACAGACTCAACATATAACCACAAACGAAAAGACCAATCTGACAGCTGCAATTTCAAACCATAAACACTTCTGCGGCAAACGCTTGTCAAACCTGCTGTATATCAAATAAAAGGTTTCTCCCTCCAAACTTGTCTTGCCACTTAAGATTTGCTGGAGGTATGATGGCGTGGATTTCACACATCTGATTCCATGGCTAAAAAAAACCTAGATCAAAACTTTTAAGTTACAAGTGTCTGAAAGCAAAGGCTGAGGCTAGGGAATTAAGTGGAACTGAAGACTTGGTATTTTCTATAACAGTACAGTATCTAATGATAATCTAGTGCTGACCTTCGATGCTTGCTTGTATACGAGGGGGCCTGTTCCAAGCTCGTGTCAATCACAGCCTGCCGATGGGCTTCCTTTTTGCTGCGCAACTAAATAATAAAAGGGGAGAGATCAAAAATCAAAACTTTTATTCCACTTAACAATGCAGTCTTTATAGATTTTGTCTGGTGGGATGTGACAAAATCTGTTCCTCTGTATACAAAATACTAGGGGGCAAATTAATCTGCAGCGCTATCTTCACAGGACTAACAGTGGACTAACTCTGCCCACTGCCAGCAGTTCGATCCTGACTGCCTAAAGGTTGACTCAGCCTTCCATCCTTCCGAAGTGGATAAAATGAGGGTCCAGATTGTTGCGGGCAACATGCTGACTCTGTAAACCACTCAAACAATACTGAGAGTACAGCAGCTGTATGTGCTAAGTGCTATTGCTATTTTTAATAAGATGGCAGCCACTAGAGGGATATCAATCTGGTTCGTCCCTTTTAAGAACAGAGGCTTTGACTTGAGGCCCTCAATGCTATGAGTTTATGGTAGAAGACCCTGAGTCAGTCCTTAATCTTCAGTGCATGATTCCTGTAAGTGGGGAAGGGGGGGGAAGAAAAGAGAGGAACTCCCCTCCCCATTCCATTGGTCTCTAATCACACTCTTTTTCCTCTGCAGATGCGCTTTTTTGCAACTAAAAATGCCGCAAATACTTCGGCCTTTGAAGTTCAGAAGGTGGGACAGGACCTTGAACTCCCGGAGTCCTTTCAGATGCAGCTTCACCCTTCCACCCTCCCTTTCCTTCCCCTCCACTCCCACCCCCTTTCCCCTCCTGTCTTTTATTGGGACAGGCTGCTCCTCCAACTGGTTCTCATAGGAAAACTTCCAAGTCGAATTACAAAAAGAAAGAATGCAAAGAAAGCGCCTTTCAAGCTTTGCAAAGGACCTTGAGGCTGATCTGGTTCCAATCCACAGCTGGAAAGGGCAGAAAGCCGACAGGCAGGAGGGAGGCCCATCCTGCTTGCTTTCCCTTGGGAACCAGCCCTTCTCTCTCTCTCTCTTTCTTCTCCTCCACCCCCCCCCCCCCGCCCTACCAGTCAAGCTTTTGCCTGAAACAGATGAAGAGGGAGGCTGATCTGCTTCCCCCAATCAGCCACTTCTGGGAGGCCCACCCTGCAGTTTCAGAAATGCAACCTTTAGGCTGGCAAAACTCAAATTAGGCTGACAGGCATGCTGGCCTCTCCCTCTTTGACCTTCTGCCCTGAGGGTCATCAGTATTTCTTTAGCCTTCCATTTAACTCTCCGCTGTTTCTTGAGGGCCATGCAAAAAAGGCAATGGAAGAAAGAGAGTTTGGGAGGTGTGCCTCCTTATACGTCAATGAAACAAATAAATGCACCGGAATGCTTTAAAAAAAAAAACGTTCACCCACATCCACTGAGTAGCCAAAGCTGTTACATAAAGCAAATGCAGGCTTCCTTGTTGCCTGATCTGTACAATACACACACACACACACACAGAGTAAATTAGCATTTCTTAGTAATGGATTATGGTATATTTAGGACAAAATACACGTTAGTATAGGCAAGCTTAAACAGCTGACTTTTTAAAAAATAAGATTAAAGTCTCAGCTATATATATATAATGGTTGTCAAATTTAACTAAAGCATGATTTAAAAAACCAGCTGTAGTAGTTAAGGCAACTCTGGTATATCTATGCACAGGCCAAACACACAAATTTTACGTTAGAGCTTAAAACTCATCAGGAAAGGCAACAACTGTTTTACAATCACAGGACACCACGGGGAAAAAAACCCCCACTTATTCTATTCAGACAATTTTGATATAAAATTGACCTGCGAGCCAGGCCGTACCTAATCTCCTCCACCCCCCCCCCCATGGGTTTATCATATCTTATGTAGCCCAAAGTTCTTTGAAGGAAGCTTACATAAAAACATAAAAATCACATCTTAAGGAATCCCTACAATTAAATCATTATTAGGATGAATTGTATCAGCAAGCATATAACTGTGTACGAAATCTGAAATGAATTACTGTAAAGAAAGGCAGCTAAAATGATATGGAGTAAATAGGTAACTCGTTAAAATCGAATTTCACCAATGAGAAGCTTATTAGTGAAAAAGTTAACAGTTCTGATCCAAAAATGCATTTGTTGGTTTTGCAACTATTATAGCCCCTGAATCCATAGGGACTCCTGGCACCTAACAATGAGCATAAAAAACACAAGAGCACAAATGCAACACAGTAGAAGCTGGAACAATCAAATAAAACATAACCAAGCGTGGCTGTAAGTAGAGTTCTGGGAGCTGAAGTCCACCCATCTTAAAGCTGCCAAGATAGGAAAGACTGGATGAAGCCATTCCAGCTTCTCCCCAAATGCTGTCTAGAAAAGCTGTTTTAACATATTTTTGAAATATTGTAAGGATGGGAGCGAATCTAACTTCTGGAAGGGAATGACATCACTGAAAAAAACCCAGCTGTCGCCTCATTATTTCAAAAGTATGGAATTACTAGAAGATTCTCTAGAAACTCGTATGTACCAGGTGGGATCAATTCTGGTTGGAAAAGATGGTCCTATCAGCCACGTTTTCAAGCTATTAGAAGCCAATGCAGCACCAACGTTACATGACTATGGCAGCTCTTACCTGCCAGCAAAGGGCAGTTTCCAAGTGGTCGTCAAAGGCAGCCTTGTGCAAATCACAATGTCGTAGACTAGGTGTGCAAAAAGAGTGCAGTTCATCTTTAACAGTTTCTCCCAGTTCAGGTAGGGATGCAACTGGTACAAGCTGGGCAAAACTCCCTGGTTATGTCCTTCCTCTTGTCAATGGATCAATAGCAGTGGGGACATAAGAGACCCCATTCCTCCCCCCTCCCCTAAAGGTATGGGGCTTTGTGAATCTAGAATTAAACACTGGAACTGAAGAACAGATCTCTAATCCACACCGGTGGGAGAATTCCCCCCAATGATTTTGTCTACTTCATCTATTTCGCTCCTTGCGGTATGGCTAAATTTTATTATACTGTTTGTAAAAGAGGACATGCCCTGTGACTGCTTCAATGACCCAGTTATGGTCTTCTGTTTATATTTTATTTCAAATGGAAACTGCTTTGATTGTTTTAATTAGCGTATTTTTTGGACTATAATACGCACCGATGTATAAGGCATACCAAGATTTCGAAGAGGTAAGTAAGAAAGAAAAGTTTTTGTCCTCCATGGCCCCCAGCAGCACTCTGCAGGATTCAGCAGGGGGAGGGGGAGACAAAAATGTCCCAGTTTTGGTGAAAAATGGGCAGAAAATGGGCCATTTTTCGCAAAAAGAGAGGCATTTCCCCCTTCCCCCAGCCCTGCTGAAGCCTGCAGAGTGCTCGGGGGGGGGGGGGTTGGAGGAAGGGGAAAACACCTCCGTTTTTGCGCAAAACAGCCCATTTTTTGCAAAAATGGGATGTGGGGCAGGGCTTCAGGAGGCCAAAAATGGCTGTATTTGGTGTATAAGACGCACCAACATTTCCATGCTCTTTTGGGGGGAGGGGAAGGTGCGTCTTATACTCCGAAAAATACAGTATTTAGTTCACTCACAGAATTCTGGTCGGCGGCTATAGGAAAAAAAGTACTGTTCTTATTAAGCCCAGGGAGGAAGACCTGGGATCATCCCACTGGGAGAATCTTCTCAACTCAGCCCTCAAATTAGACTCTGCAAGATCGCCTGCGGAGGCCTTCTCTCCTAAAAAGTCTCCAAAACCTTGAAGAATCCCACACAGAAAGTGACCTAAGCATGAGCTTCAAGTGTTAGAAACGTTCTGTATAAATACAAAAAGTCTATCACAATACCCTTCTGTATCCAACAACATAAATGGAATTGGCAAAAAAAAAAAAACAAACCCAACCCCAACTGTCAACAACCCATCACTCACATCGTCTTGTTTATGCTGCAGGTCCTCCAGCAGCGCCAAAGTATCTTCATCTGCAAGATCGCAAGGACGCTGGCCCTGTGGGAGGAAAGAAAGAAAATCAGGGGGAACAGGAGGCTTGACAATACAATTGCCTCAAAACTCCACCAGCCAGCAAAAGGAGGCAGAAAAAAAAAATACAACGGGCACAACAGATCGGCCAACTGCAAATGCCTTCAAACCTCTCCTCCTTCTCCGCCTCCACTTTTGAATCCGTTAACAGAAATATACACTGACTAAACCGAGCACAGATGAAAAAGACGAAAATGATATGAAGGAAGCTGCACCAAAGACTGGTCTAGTTTTCGGAGCGCTCCTATCCGCTTGCTTCCAGCCACTGTACTTTTTGGTGGAGAAATAAATCAGAGGTGTGTGTTTGTGTGTGTGTGTTGAAATTCGGGGTGTTGGGTAGGAATTTCTGGGTAGGGGATGAAATGAATGCCTTTACAGCACTTGTTCTGATCTTTCAGCTCTTAAATAAATAAGAGTAAATAAGAGAAAAACTACCCACAGGGATGGTCTGGCCTTTGGGGGCCGGGGGGGGGGGGGATGGAGACCAGAGGACAGCCTGAAGTCTAGAGGTTTTTTAAAAAGTGGATGAAAAAGAGGAAGCATGAGCAAGAGAGAAGGTTAAACGCATGGTCTCTCTAGGACATTTTCCTTTGCCAGACTCTAACTCTCTCATGGTCTCTAATGAGATTCTGCCAGAGAGGTGAGCATGTATGCGAGACTCCGGCGATCAATTTCAGATTTTTCCATCCCACGTCCCCCTGATCCTTTGGATATTTTCTATTCTGTGCAACTTTCAGTTGATCAATCAGGCAGAATGAGATCATCCTTTTTCTTTAGAAAAGGCCAAAAGAAGGCGGGCCAGGGAGGCACCGAGGATCCAAAGCACATTTTGTGCTCAGAGGCCCTATAACTGGCAGTGATTGATTCCCCTTCATTGGTCCCGTTGGAAGGACTATATTTTTTTAAAATTAAAAAAAAAAAAACAGGGAAGAGAGATGGGTTAGCGGCTATATTCTCCCCCCCAATCACCACCAAATGCTGCCAAGAGTGTGGGAGGCTTGCAGAGGCTTGGTGAGAGCACACTTCATGCCTACTGATGCAACTGGCCTGCTAGAAGCCTAAAGAACTACCCCCGATGAGGAGGAAATCTATGCTTCATAAGTAACAGAATAACAGAGTTGGAAGGGACCTTGGAGGTCTTCCAGTTCAACACCCTGTTCAGGCAGGAAACCCTACACCAGTGATGGCTAACTCTTGTCCTCGCAGGCTGAAATCGTGTGCGCGCCCACACCCACAATGCAATATGCCCTGCCCCGCTGCACATGTGCGCACGACTCACCCACTGATCCCTCCCCCGCACATATGTGCGACTCCCTCCCCCTCCTGTGCTCCATTTTGGGAATAGCAGGCCTCCCTGAAGTCTCCTGGGACCAAAGGTGGGGTCCCGGGGAGGAAGGGTGCTGCCCCCGCGCTTCCCACACACCGCCTATGCACGCTGCCACTCTGCGCATGTGCGTGCGTCTCCCACACGCACAGCAGAGAGCTGAAAATCAGCTGTCTGGCAGGAGGCGCATGCGCGCCCACAGAGAGGGCTCCACTTGCCAGTGTGGCACAGTGTGCCATAGGTTCACCATTACAGCCCTTTACCATTTCAGAACAAATGGTTGTCCAGTCTCTTCTTAAAAACCTCCACTATTGGAGCACTCACAACTTCTGGGGGCAAGTGGTTCCACTGAATACACTGTAATAACTCTGATACATAATCAACAAGTAGCAAGCATCGTTCGGGAAGGGACAGTCTCCTCTCAACTCTCTCAAGAGATGAACACCTGATGTCCTGTACCTACCAGAACTATTAAAACAGTTGCTTATGTTGTACTCCAATTCATATTGATGTAATAATAGTCAATGGATTAACCTTTTTAATAACTGGTAATGTTTCTATTTTATTTTATTTATTTATCAATCAAATTTAAATGCCTGCCCAATTCATATAAGATGTCTCCAGGTGGCTTCCAATATTCATAATATACAATATCTCCACCCCCTCTTTTTTTTTTTTAAACAAAAGACTTTTACAGTATTTTGTAAGCCTTGGTAACTCTTGTGAAATACAGCATGATGTTGAAACAAACAGAGTGGCCAACTATTTTCCCCTCACCCTACTAATGTCTTCCCTGCCTAACACAAGATAATTTTGAGAAGGGGAACTTGTCTTATATGAAGGCGCAGACCTATCTAGCCCCACGTGGCTCTTTGTTCCAGCTGGCAATATGTTTAGCTCCCTGGCCTCAGGTAGAAAAGAGTTTGATGGCCGCATGGAGTCCATCAAATCTAATGCCCTGCTCCATGCAGAAATCCAAATTAAAACGACTGCCTGGCCTCCACCTGAACAAGCGTCTGCCCGAGCTTCCCATTCATCTGTTGCAGTCTCCTCTATAAAGGGAGATGCCATTTTCCCATAACCCACTACCTGCACCCTCTATCAGCCTTCTCTTACCACATTGTTGAGGGCCTCCATGTCACAGAAGTGCTCAGCCAAAAGCCGGCAGGCCTCCTCCACTCCCCAGTGAGCTGCTGCATGTAGGGGCGCCCAGCCATCTTTGTCCTGCACATTGGTGTCATAGCCAGCTTGCAAGAGCAGCCTGCAACAGAGCAAGGCAAGGCAGGGTAAGGGTAACTGGGGGCTTCCTTGTCTCTGGGAGAACAGAGCTGGGCTGTGGCAGAACAAACGGGGCAACCTGGATAGAGAGGATTCTAGAAATAAAAGTACCACAGGAGACCAGAATTCAGGTTTTCAAGTTATCCACAATTGTTAGGGGAGAAGAGAAACATTTGCAATTTTGAGCTGGGGTAGCATTTTTTGAACATGAAGTGTGCTTAGTAAAGAAAATGCCAGGTAGGGGTGGGAGTTACAACCCCAGAGGGTTCCCTAAAAAACAAACAAAAAAAAGAGTAAAGTGAAAAGTGGGATTTATTGGAATTCTTTTCCCCCACCTTTCTTCTTCCTTTTGAAAAGAGGAACCCCAAGTACTAATAGTTCCGTGTTGGAAGCACCGGAGTGTTTTCGTGGTGAAATGATTTCCTGGTGACACCACTGTTGCCTGGGAAACTCCCAGTTGGGGCTTCCTTCCATGTCCCTGTGAAGTTGCCGTATTGAAGTGGTACCCATTTATCTACTTGCGGTTGCCTACTTTCAAATCACTGGATTAGAAGGAGCTGGAGCATGTGACAGGAGCTCACCCAGCCTCACAGCAGTAACAAGTCTCGAACGTCAGGCTGCTGATAGTCAGTCCACCTTTCTAACCTGAGGAGCCACAGAGCTCCTCAGAATCCCAGATTAAAGAAAAACAGCTGAGAACAAAGATCCTTCGATTTTGCCTTTTCCTTGAAGAAGCTGAGAGGTGGCTGGGTGGGGACTGACGCCTCTTTGCCTTTCCTTTTTCCATAAGCCCTGCCTGAGCTTGAAGGATGTGTGGAAAAGTGGGTGGGGTCAGCAAGCCCTCCCCGCAACCCTGCTCAAGACGGGGAGAGAAGGCTAGGCGATCCAATGACTTGGGCTTTTCCCAAACACAGCTAGGAAAAGGCAAGAGTCTGTTATATTTCCTGCTATGAAAAGCAATTAATCATCCATACCGGCTATGGTGAGGTTAACCACAGTCAAGAACTGCCCAGGATATGATGGAGGCTCTCACCTCATGACCTCGACGTAGCCTTTAGCAGCCGCCACATGGAGGGCAGTGGCCCCAGTTTTGGGGTGAGGTTCATCAGATATTTTGCCGTCATTCAGCCAATGGCGAGCATCACGAAGCATCATCTCTTCTTCCTCTCGCTTGGCTACCTCTACATCTACCCCTGAAAGCAAAGGGAACGGTCACACGAAACACAGAGAACCTGTGGCTGAAAAATTCTGAACAGTGGTCCCAAACTATAATGCAGATAGCGCACGCACACACATACTTTTTTTTTTTTAATGAAATCACAGCAACCGGATCTTTGGAACTTTGCTTTCCATCTCAGAAGAAGAGCTGGAATCACATCATAGGGACCAGCACGTATTTTGTGATGTAGCTCCACAGTTTTATTATGTACTTTTGCAACAAAACTCTTCATATATTTTTTTTATTCAAATGCAAAATGGATGTTGCAGTCCACACATACAGAAAGAATTCATGCTGATAATTTTGGGAAATGACAATCAGCAACAACAATGCAGCTCTGAAGTGGGAAAGTATTTACCAGGCCTTAATTTAGCCTATTTCTGTTCTCTCTATATATGTACTATAAAGGTAAAGGTTCCCCTAGCACTTATGTGCTAGTCGTTCCCGACTCTAGGGGGCGGTGCTCATCTCCATTTCAAAGCTGAAGAGCCAGTGCTGTCCGAAGACATCTCCGTGGTCATGTGGCCGGCATGACTAAACACCAAAGGCACATGGAACGCTGTTACCTTCCCACCAAAGCTCTCCCTATTTTTCTACTTGCATTTTTACCTGCTTTTGACCTGCTAGGTTGGCAGAAGCTGGGAAAAGTAATGCAGCGCTAGGGATTTGAACTGCTGAACTTTCTGATTGACAAGCTCAGCGTCTTAACCACTGAGCCACCACGTCCCTATATGTACTACATGTATGTCTATATTAAATAATCTGTTATAAATATTTTTACAAAGCCACTGTGGGTAGCCCTTGACTTACAACAGTTCATTTATTGACCGTTCCAACTTATAACAGCCCTGAAAAGAGTGACTTATGAGTTTTTTCACACTTACAACCATGGCAGCACTCCCATGGTCATAGGATCGAAATTCAGACACTTGGCAACTGGCTCATATTTATGACAGTTGCAGCGTCCCAAGGTCATCTTCTATGACCTTCTGACGAGCAAAGTCAATGGGGAAGCCAGATTCGCTTAACAACCGTGTTACTAACTTAATGCCTGCAAGGAATCACTTAACAGCTGTGGCAAGAAAAGTTGTAAAATGGGGCAAAATGCCCTTAACAAATGTCTCACTTAGCAGCAGAAATGTTGGGCTCCATTGTGGTCGTAAGTTGAGGACTACCTGTAGTGTTTTGGGGTGGTTGGTTTTTTTTAATGGTGAAAATGTCAAAGAGTCGCCATCTTTCCATAGCCAATTAGCTGGAGAACCCTCTAATAACGGGACATCAGAGGAAGCAGAGCTGAACTTGCAGTGGCTGCTTGTGCCTTACCTCGTTTCTCGATTTCTGCTCGCAGCAAGGCTTCCATGCTGTCAGCCTCAGCAATGTCCAGTGGGACGTCCCCGTCACTATTCACCGCAGCAATGTTGGCGCCGTGGTCCAAGAGGTATCTGGGCCAGACAGTGAAGGCCAGTCAGATGCATGGGCCACCCAGCCCCCATATTCAGGCCTACAATCTCTATCCCGCAGCAGAAGGGGCCATCTGAGATGGTGGTTGTAACCAGCTTCCTGCAAAGCTTGATCTGGGTAATCTAGTCTGCTTGGGTGTCAAGTACAGAGTTCAAAGACTGTGGACTTTAAGACCTACACCCTGACTCACCTTCTCAGGCAAAACTCCCCCTCCCCTTCCACTAAAGGTGAATGTCAAGATACAGGCAACCTTTACAGCTTTCCTTGCAAGCTCCCACAATAAACCAGGACTCTCCCTCTTCGAAGAGGATTGCCTAAGGTTATCTTTCACTGAGTGTGAAATGCACCAGCTATGTTTAGCAGCCTCCTGCCAGAGTTTCTCCAGCTGAGAAATCCAACATCATACTAGGATAGTTGCCTGAAGGAGCTCAATGACTAAGTGGAGGGTGAGAAAGGACAGACTGCAGTCACTTGTGCCGAGAAGCAACTGTAAGGCTGGCCGGGAGATCTGTGGATCTAGGAAATTTAGGCAAAGAATACACAAACCCCCCACCCAGCCCAAACTTACTGTGCAATCTCATTGTAGCCACAGGAGGCAGCAACGTGCAGCGGAGTCCAACCTTCATTGTCTGCCTGGTTTACATCAGCTCCATTTTCTACCAGAAATTCAACCACTTCCATGTTTTCATCAATGCAGGCCTGGAAGAATCAAAATGCTTCCTTATCATGCAAATCCAACCTCATCTTTTGCCTCATTTGTAATACAAAAGTCTTCATCTCCTTCAAGAGAAGAGCCAATTCCAAGTGCCCCTCATCAAATTCATCACCCTCCACTCCTTCCCCAGTGTGGAAGATGGCTAAAATGGCAACCCTTGAACAGGGAAATGGAACATTGTAAAGACGTAATAGATTTTACACTAGAGAGAGTTGGGACTGAAAAATCAAAGTCCCTGGGAATTTTGTAATATTTGTCTTGCTTTGATTGCAGCTGGTGGCGGAAAATAGGGCAAGTACATTGGACCAGGAAATAAACAAGGTTTTCAAGCAGCAAGAGGATTGTGGCTAGAGCACAACTACACAACAGACCACAGAACAAAATCTCTGGCACAGAATGTTTTGAGGAAAAAGTGCACAGGCTACTAAGATGGGAATGAAATATGCGGGTTATTGGGAAGGAGCCTTGGGAAGGTAACCTAACCAAGCGATGGAAACTCTTTGGTCCTCCAGAGATTTCTGAACAACCCCTAATAAACCCAGCTGGAATGCCCAAAGGAGAGAGATGCTAGGACCTTTTTTGATCAACAAGAGAACTACCAGCCTCCCATTCCAGCCCTAAATTCAACTACCCTGCGTTTCCCTGAAAATAAGATAGGGTCTTGTTTTCTTTTGACCCCTGAAATAAGAGCTTGGCCTTACTTTTGGGGAGGTTTTATTATTTTGGGGGTGCAGGAGACCCCTTAACCTCAGCCTGATTCAGAGAGGGCTGGAAATGCTGTCTCTCTTTCTGGCACACTCTTGCTAGCCCTTCTGTCGCTGGGCCTGCAGTTCTTTTTGTAGCTGCCACTAACAGAAGGGCCGCAGTAGCTAGGGTTCATAAGGCCTCCATGAGACCGTTCCGTGTGGACGGCAGGGGTGCGTGGGACATGTTCTCCCACTTTTCCCCACAGAAAATGGCGGGGACTGGCTGCGCATGTGTTTAAATATTTTAGGGAAGGGCTTGTTTTCAGGGGAGGGCTTATTTTAGCGCATGCACGCAAAAGCCTGATTGGGCTTATTTTCCAGGGAGGTTTTATTTTGGGGAAAACAGAGTAATAGACCAGAAACCAAAAACTTGAACCAATGTAGTTAGTCCCTGACTTATGACCACAATTGGGATGAGAATCTGGATTGTTGAGCAAAGCAATCATTACATGAGTTGTCATGTCACTGTTTTGCCCAGTGGCTGCAGTCTTGGCCCTCCTGGTTGTGGTCCTTAAGTAATCTTATGAGTTGTTAAATGGAGTTCCAAGGAAGGAGAATTTGGGAGGGGGAAGACTAGGGGAGGTTCTGGGAAGCCTAGTTCAGGACACTCAAGTGTCTTTTTGCTCAGGAGTTAAAAATCCTCCATTTTATCCCGGGAGCAGAAAGCATCCTCTCATTAATTCAAACTTGCTAATAGTTTGCAATCATAAGTCAAGACTACCTGTTATGTTCAAGTGAAGAGAGCTGGAGGTTGAAGTGACCCTCAGATAAATTAGATTACAACCTCCATTATTTCTAAAAGTAAAAATTAAAAGTTCCCCTCACACATATGTGCTGGTCATTCCCGACTCTAGGGGGCAGTGATTCAGCTCTGTTTCAAAGCCGAAGAGCCAGCGCTGTCCAAAGATGTATCCGTGGTCATGTGGCTGCATGACTAAATGCCAAAGGCGCACAGAAAGCTGTTACCTTCCCACCAAAGTGGTTCCTATTTTTCTACTTGCATTTTTACATTCTTTCGAACTGCTAGGTTGGTAGAAGCTGGGACAAGTAATGGGAGCTCACTCAATTACGTGGCGCTAGGGATTCGAACCGCTGAACTGCCAACCTTCTGATCGACAAGTTCACGTCCCATTATTACTAGGGAAAGCCTGAAGGGCATCTGAAAAATATCAGATTGGGAACATCTGTACTACTGAAGCACAACTTACAGGGGAAGGGAAGTTGCCACTACAACTATTACCATTATACTATTATGAGACTTCTTTTTTTTTTTTTTTAAAGATCATTTGCACATGTAATTGGCAGGAGTCTCCAAGCTTGGCTGGCTGGAGAATTCTGGGAGTTGAACTCCTCCAAGCTTAAAGTTGCCAAGATTGGAGACCAAACTTCTCAACCCACCTGCATAATGCTGGAAAAGAAAACGTGCAGTTTATTTTTGAGGTAAGGTATGAGTGGATAAGCAAGAGATATGATCACTTAGTTTCCAGGGAAAGCTGTATCCTGCAATATTAGGTCTGACCCAAAACACAATGAAGTAAAACTGTTATTTACTTATTTATATACCCTGTTTCCCCTAAAATAAGACCTCCCTGGATAATAAGCCCAATTGGGCTTTTGAGAGCATGTGCTAAAATAAGCCCTCCCCCCAAATATATAAACGCATGCGCAGCCAGCCCTTGCCATTTCCTCTGATTGCTTGCTGCGCAAAGAACACGAGGTGAGGAGGGGAGGCCGGAGGAAGGGGAAAGGGAGGGGGGAACATGCCCCATGTATCCCAAATGCCCTAAGGGCTGCTCCCCCAACCCTAACCCTGTCCCCTTCTGTTATGCTAATGGCCACAGCAAAAAGAGCGGCAAGCCCAGCAATGTGCAACACAGCAGCAGCCATGAGGTGACCACGCTCGCTGCCTCCTGCACCTCAAAAATAATAAGACCTCCCCGAAAATAAGGCCAAGCACTTATTTCGAGAGGGGGTTTCAAAAGAAAATAAGACCCTGTCTTATTTTGGGGGAGACAAGATAACTTATAGGTCATCATCTGCCAATGACTCCAGCAGCTTAAAAGGTTAAAACAAAATGACAAAAAGGAGATAATGAGCAATCTGAAGTCAACATATAACCATCCAGCAGGGGCCTAACCTTCACCCTTCCCCAAAGCGTGGAAAAGTCAGGTCTTTGATGGCTTCTTAAAAATCATCAGGAAAGAAACGTTTGATTCCACCACCACCCCCTTGAAACCAGGACCATAAGTCATAGTTTCAGGGTTGCTTCAAAGTCTAGCCCACTGATTTGGATTTAATAGCAAATTAAATGTCTGACTGGGATCAGGCATAATGTGTAGAAAGCTATACTCTTGAGATAACCATGTTTTGGATGAAAAGGCAATCTCTGGGTTATGGCAAGGAGGAGGTCTGTGAAAGTGAGGTGAGAAAACAGAGAAAACACACGAAGAGCTTTTAATATTTAGATCGATGGTGCCAAATCTTGGCAACTTTAAGACTTGTGGAATTCATCTCCCAGAATTCTGGGAGGGAAATTCCATAACTCTACTGGCTGGGGAACAATGCTAGCTGGGGAATTCTGGGAGTTGAAGTCCACAAGTTTTGAACATTGTCAAAGCAAAGCCAAAGAAAAATCAATAGCAAATCTTAACATACTTAACAAGCTAATAAAATATTTACAGTAAGTATAATAATACAACCAATGGAAAAGAGAAAAGAAAATGAGGTTCAACTAAATTTCTACTTACATTAATTAGCCTATTTACAATTTTTCCATATTACATATTTTCTATAATAACAGTTATTCACGTTTGTCAACTTCCCTTTCATTTCTACCCCTTGTCTCTATCCATTCATAAAATTTATTCCATGTCCTATAATATTTCGAGTCTTCTTTATCTTTAATTTTTAGGGCTAATCTATCCATTTCAACACAATCCCAAATTTTCCTAATTATATCGTCATCTGATGGGGGTGTTCGCATTTTTCCAATATTTATTAAGGTGCTAATTCTCAAAGGGCTCCTTTTGCACCTCATACAAGATATGCTGCAAGATGGTATTATGTACGTCAAAAAAAAAATCACAGGAGATTTCAGCATCTACCAAAACTTGCAGATGAGGGGGAGGGAAGGAGGGAGGGAGGGAGAAGGAAGAAAATTGGACCAGTAAATCTTTGATGTCTCTTCTAATGTCAGGAAAATGCAGCTGTGCTACTTTTCTTCTTTCAGGCACAAAAGACATCAGAACTGAAGGCAGCTGCTTTTGCTCATTGCTTTCATCTGCCTTTAATAACAGGTTTTGGATCTGCAGTCAAGCCATGCAAAATAAAACCGACTGGAGCAATAACAGCAGATGGGTGTATGATATCAAAGAGCCACAGAAGAGGAGACAATCTTCTTCAAAAAAAGAAGAAAAATTGAGGATGTTGAGGGAGGGGGAATGGATAGGTTCAACTTGAGGATCTTCTCAGAAAGCCAGTTAAGGAGAAAAGGTCTCAGGGCTCTTTAGAGGCTCAATGGATTGCTTTGCACCCATCAAAACATCAGCCCATCCTGCCTTTTTTGGTGCTGTCTGATTTCCAGCAACTCCCCAAGGACAGGAGCAAGTTTGCTGAATGCGTCAATCCAGGCCACCATCCAGGAGAAAGAATAAGTGGAGTAGCCCAGTGTTTCTCAACCTTGTCAACTTGAAGATATCTGGACTTCAACTCTCAGAATTCCCCAGCCAGCGAATGCTGGCTGGAGAATTCTGGGAGTTGAAGTCCAGACATCTTCAAGTTGACAAGATTGAGAAACACTGGAGTAGCCATCACACCAGGGGCAGCCAATGCATTTTGCCTACTTCCAAAGTGCTGCTGTTCTCACACCTACATCTACAGGTGACTTGACTTGACTTACAAGTTTGTTTAGTGACCACTCAAAATTACAACAGTACTGAAAAAAGTGACATGACCATTTTTTCAGTCTTGATGACGTGTCCTTTGTGATCACATGGTCAAAATTCAGACTCTTGGCAAGTGACTCATATTTACGACAGTTCCAGTGTCCCAGGGTCTTTTACAACCTTCTGACACACAAAGTCAATGAAAAAACCAGATTCGCATGACAATCATGTGGCTAGCTTAACAACTGCAGTGATTCACTTAACAACTGTGACAAGATTGTAAAATGAGGCAAAACTCATTTTTAACAATTGTCTCACTTAGCAACAGAAATGTTGGGCTCCATCATTTCTCTA